CTTACCCTGCAATGCTTCCATGGCAGTTGCTGCATGACCCGGACTCAAAAAATCGACAAAACAAAGTACCATTGGATCACCCCTTGGCTGCACAAAATAGAAGTAAAATGTCCATCAACGTATACAATTTTTTTTAAACTTTTTAATTAAACTTACTTGTCTTGACTCCTTGCTAACAAGCCTAACTTCTTTGTAGCCAACAAAAGGACGAAATATATCTGTACCTCGCAAGTTAAGGAGGAAGAATCTACAATGAAAAAGATTTGACTCCTCTAACGGGATATGTGTGAAGAAAGAAAGTGCGGTCCGACCTACCGTTGATATAAAGTGGGTTCCGTTTACAAAAACACATTATTTCAAATCAACAGTAGATCTCTCACTCTTGACATCTCACTTGAAGAAGAATTAAATCCGAATGAAAGCATTGATCTAAGGGGAACCGAATGAAAGGATACGAGCTACTTCCCGTCTTGTGCAGTTAGAAGGCAAACCCTCAACAAACAGTGTACTGGTAGCATCAGGTGGAAGAGAATGGTCAGCCCTTCCACTACTAAACCCCAGGATTTTGTCTTTTACATCTGTTCCCCTGTCTACTCCCCCAATATTTGCAACATTTGAATCGTCAATAGTACGATTGGGAACTCGCCCTCCAATGGTTCTAGTGGACTGTCCAGAACCATATGATGAAATCTGATGAAAAATGTACAATTTTTTTATCCTTAAACATATAGACATATTTCACACATCAGATGTACTTTGTGGTAATACGACATCGAACAAGATGTGCGAGACAGTAAAATAAATTATTCCATTTCGATCACATGCTCACTTTAACTGGATAGGATATTAGGACAAGGTAGAGTTCATGATTTTGTGTTCACTACACAATAGAACACGACAATTAATGTTATTATTACTCCAAACAATGTATCTAAGAAAATTAAAACTACCAATTTTTCCCCTATTCCTTTCAAATCTCCCATTGGAAATTTGGAGCTGATAAAGAAATTATTTGGGTTTTTTTACCATTAGTTTAAGCATAAAAAATCCACTCACCCAGCTCTCTATCATATCCATGAACAAACACATTTAAATACATTCTAGTTGCCTACAAATTCAATATATCAATCAGGGGAATAAAAGAACAAGAAATAGATAAATGGCCATTTAAGAACCGAAAAAAAGCTAATACCGCACTACGGAGGTAACTCTCATAAGATGCATCAAGGGACTCAGCATCTCTAACTACTCGTAGCCCTCCTCTATCATCATCATGGGGAAAGTAATTGGGCAAGTCATGAACACCAGAGACATCTTCAAAATTAAAAAATACTTTAAGCNTTGCACTTTTTTCTGCTGTTCCAGGTAAATATCCTGCATATTTCATAACCAACCAACCAACAGAATATTATTATGAGAAAAATGTTACTTGTACAATTAAAAGATAGAAAAAAGAGAAAAGTTTGAGATATAATAAAAGATATGAAGGTATAGGAGACATTGGCCATAACGGTCCAAGTTACGGTTTATGGAAGGGTTGGTCTTAGCAGGTAACAACCAATATACGTTTTACAAAACCTGGTGTCAATAAAAACAAATATACTACAAATTCATTTTATCTCTAAATATCCAACACAAACTCACATGAAATAATAGTCACATCTCTTACTCGGTTGAGGTTTTTTGTCGTCAATTTATTTCTTTGCGCATGAATAACCCATTTACAAATATGACTTTATTTTAAGATTGTGGTTTTAAAGTTTAAAATATGTAAAAATAAAATATCACCCTTTTTTATTTTCACCAATTTTTAAAAAAACCATTACGACAGCGAAATGGAGCAGCGATGGGATGCTGGAAAGTTAATCGTAACGTCTTCGAATTGTGGCCGTCAAGGTAAGGTAAAATCGCAACTGCTCACAATACTATAGCAGTATCCAACAAAAACCAAACGCATAGGTTTAGTTTCTGTTTTATTTGTTTCCGTAAGCAGCACTAGCAAACGTCACAAAAGACACTATCTTCTAAGACCTTTTTTTCTTCTGAAGGACGCAACTAAGATACCTTGGAGGTATCTTTCGTGGAAAAGCTTCGGACAGAGATGAATACGAAGAGTTACTAAGTGCAAGTAAAAGTACGCTCACCGTATAACTGGACTAAACCAAAAAGGATCAAATTCAAAGAACAATGCCTTCCCACAGAACATGCTGTTTCCACATTTTATCATCCGCTTCAAGTTCACCGTATAACTGGGACTGGACACTCACAATAAAATCAAATATATGTAATAACCAACACAAATCTATGCACTGAAGGAACCTTTCGTATTAAAGTTATGAACTAGAAAAATCATATTAACCTGAAAAATATATACCAAGGGCGAAAAAGCAGGTATTTGGGCCAGAACAAGAATGAAAAATTGACAATTGTCTAATTATACTAATCTAATAAAGTTAAAAATTAATAGTACCTGATATCTTAAAGGCTCACAAGAAAGTAGAACCCGTGCATGGAAGCATCCCTCTTATTAGTAGACAAATATATTCGACAGAGCAATGACAAGCCATCGAAGTCATAAGTTATTTCGCATAAGACAATTTGAAGCAATTTATAGTAAATATATTAAACAATTTTTCTCAAACACGCACAATCTGAATCTCTAGCGAGCACTCCCCACACGAATACGACAATGATCGACTTGTTGCTAATGAAAGCAACTGTAATTCTCGACTGCAATGTTGGTCACTTGCCTCTCAAAATCATAATCATAACCTCCCCATCGTGAGTGAATCCTACATGGAATTTCCGTTTCACGATTCAGCATGATTAACTGTTTATATTTAAGTTTTTATCCAGCACCCAACGACCATTGACAAACAGTGTGGGCGTATTGAAATAATAGAATTAATCACCTGTAATTGCATAATTCAACGTTTGCCACGATGTATGCCACCTGACCTCGCACCAGGATAGCGGCGAGCAAATTGAAACCTTAAATTGACCGAGTTGCGGTCAAGTTCGTCAAATTTGTAACCTGCAAAATTAACGTTCACTGTTTTACGCTGAACAACTAGCCGTGTTCTGTGCAGCGGATTATGGTGTCAACAGGAAGATGATATAAGACGCGTTTTGTATCTTAACTCGGCTTATGACAGACATAATAATCCTGAAATGCATCTAAATACGTTCAAACCCAATGTCCAACATAGGTGAATATGCTTTCCTCTCACTCGTTACCGAAGGGGTCAAACTTGGTACTTGAAAGGAAGGGTGAGTAAACTTTAAATAAGGCTCCATCATTAGACTATCTTCACCGTTGGCCATTCAATGAAACTTAGAATATTGGTCGAATATTACCTACCTAGTTTAAGTATCTACGCGGCAGAACAAATAATAAATTGTGACATGCAACACACGATCTTACTGTACTGGTAGATGGAAGAGCAAATGAATGTGGAAGTCTACTACACCAAGAGAGCGTATTTTGTCAAACAGGCCCTTAGCTATCGATGTTCCATGCAACCAATGTTCTTTTAAGCAATCCACCCAACCCACATGAGTTCCTCAAAAGCAGGAGGCCTGCCTCCGTAACTTGGAAATGTCAAATTGCATGGCATTCACAATCTAGCCCCCACGATCTTTCAACCAGATATGCCAGCTTTATCGATGACCACGACAATGATGGAAAATAAGGAGTCCATAACATTCATTATCGTGACATTACTTTTACATGAATCAGTCTTTTACCTTTCGAAGCTTGAGTAAAGCTTTCATCTGAGTCAAACCATCTCCATCCCCGCATAAAAGTGTGGTAGATGAGAAATGCATTGCATAGGGTTAAATGCAATGCTGCTTGTTAGTGATGTCGAAAGACCATCAAGTAGTGCTCTAGGATTCCACACTCGCATCCAGTGTTAATGTCCTTCCTTACAATAAGATCCTTTGATCCAATACCACTGAGTATGTTTCAGGCAACACTCACGTTCTAAATCCATCACTACCTCATCAGATTACTGGATTTATATTTTACCCAAAACCCAGCATATATTATGCAGAGCAGCCCACGGTCTTGAGGCACAGACAGGAGGAATTCAAATCATAAAGAAGTCCCTTCTTGCCAACTCGATGAAATTGCCAGAAAATGGTTCTATAGCATTTTCTCTATATTAAAACTTAAGTGGATAAAGAAATGGACAAAGGTTTTTCCAAGACACACATGAGGATGACATTATACGAGTAGAAGAAATAGAGGACTTACCCTGCAATGCTTCCATGGCAGTTGCTGCATGACCCGGACTCAAAAAATCGACAAAACAAAGTACCATTGGATCACCCCTTGGCTGCACAAAATAGAAGTAAAATGTCCATCAACGTATACAATTTTTTTTAAACTTTTTAATTAAACTTACTTGTCTTGACTCCTTGCTAACAAGCCTAACTTCTTTGTAGCCAACAAAAGGACGAAATATATCTGTACCTCGCAAGTTAAGGAGGAAGAATCTACAATGAAAAAGATTTGACTCCTCTAACGGGATATGTGTGAAGAAAGAAAGTGCGGTCCGACCTACCGTTGATATAAAGTGGGTTCCGTTTACAAAAACACTTTATTTCAAATCAACAGTAGATCTCTCACTCTTGACATCTCACTTGAAGAAGAATTAAATCCGAATGAAAGCATTGATCTAAGGGGAACCGAATGAAAGGATACGAGCTACTTCCCGTCTTGTGCAGTTAGAAGGCAAACCCTCAACAAACAGTGTACTGGTAGCATCAGGTGGAAGAGAATGGTCAGCCCTTCCACTACTAAACCCCAGGATTTTGTCTTTTACATCTGTTCCCCTGTCTACTCCCCCAATATTTGCAACATTTGAATCGTCAATAGTACGATTGGGAACTCGCCCTCCAATGGTTCTAGTGGACTGTCCGGAACCATATGATGAAATCTGATGAAAAATGTACAATTTTTTTATCCTTAAACATATAGACATATTTCACACATCAGATGTACTTTGTGGTAATACGACATCGAACAAGATGTGCGAGACAGTAAAATAAATTATTCCATTTCGATCACATGCTCACTTTAACTGGATAGGATATTAGGACAAGGTAGAGTTCATGATTTTGTGTTCACTACACAATAGGACACGACAATTAATGTTATTATTACTCCAAACAATGTATCTAAGAAAATTAAAACTACCAATTTTTCCCCTATTCCTTTCAAATCTCCCATTGGAAATTTGGAGCTGATATAGAAATTATTTGGGTTTTTTTACCATTAGTTTAAGCATAAAAAATCCACTCACCCAGCTCTCTATCATATCCATGAACAAACACATTTAAATACATTCTAGTTGCCTACAAATTCAATATATCAATCAGGGGAATAAAAGAACAAGAAATAGATAAATGGCCATTTAAGAACCGAAAAAAAGCTAATACCGCACTACGGAGGTAACTCTCATAAGATGCATCAAGGGACTCAGCATCTCTAACTACTCGTAGCCCTCCTCTATCATCATCATGGGGAAAGTAATTGGGCAAGTCATGAACACCAGAGACATCTTCAAAATTAAAAAATACTTTAAGCTAATGAGAATACAAAGACAGGAACAAGGTAACAATGAATCATTCACATGATGATTGTGAAATACACAAGATTAAAATCAAATGACAGGGGAAAATATTTCTATCAAGATACAAGCCTAAGATTAAGACAACATGAATTTGAAATAGAATAGCTTCATTATTTAAATTATATATCGGAAAAAAGATAGATTCATCACAAAATTAGACAGACCCACTTAAAAGAGTACTATCACGGGCACAAAATTCGGACTTAGGTAAGCATATTGTGTCAAGTCTAGTAAATAAAATGAAAACTTCTTTCCAAAAGCTCTGGAAAAATTAGCAGGGGAGGATAATCACTTTTCTTGTCCTGAATCTATATCTAGTTTGAAACCCACAGTGAAAAATAGTTAGGCACTTGGACAAAACAGGAACAGAGAATTCTTCATCATTATTCAAGGAGATGTATCTAAAAAATTTAAGACCAAATTCGGTTCAGCATAAACACCCGCCAACAAGATGACGATGCTGCATATAATCATGAAAGGTGACCTAATACAGAGTATCCAAACTAAAAGGAACAAACATAAACCCTCTCTATTTGGAACGAGGGAAAGAGTTCCACGGTAAAAAGAAAAGGAAATTGAACAAACCAAATCAAACCAAGAAAAATAAAAGCTATGTAACAGGAAAGGACAGAAAATGGAAGGGGGAAAGATCAATAAAAGGGAAAATTCAAAATTTTGACTTTAGATTTGGCGAAATACGTAAAGATGGCCTTTTGCGTTGAGATGAAAACCTAGCGAGAGAAAAAGATAAATATGAAAAACCCTGAATTGAAGGCATACCGTAGTCGGAACGAGAGCGCTTGCCGGCGATAGAGGAAGGGGCATGCCGCGATTCGGCGGCGTATCTCCAATATCCGTCGGACATGAGGATGGGAATTGATAGATTGATGAACCAAATTGAAATTAAAACTGAAACAGAAATTGAAATTGAAAAGTGAAAGAGGATGAGAATATGGGTTGAAGCTTCTTTTGATTATATCTCAGAAAAGCCAAACGACGCAGATTCAAATAATGAATTTCATTTTTTTTTTCAATCTACATCTTATAAGCAGCTACTTCAATACACTTTTCTTCTTTAGCATATTTTATCAGATCCTATTTATATTTTTCTTTCTAATCACTGTTTTACTATATGTCATATTATTCAATTTTTTATTGGATAAATAAGAAAACTTTGATTTAGTCTTTCAATATATATATATATATATAATTCAATTTAATTTCTATATTTATTATTTATTTTTAAAATTATATTTTTAAATTAATTTTTTAAATGATTTTATGTACAGTGAACTTTATTTCTCAAAGTACTAGGTAATGTTGGGATTTTTTTTATCTGAATAAAAGAGTTTAATCATTTTTTATTTGTAGTTTTTGAGTGAAATATCCATTAAGTAAAGTTTATCTCATTAAGCTTATAAGCTATCCTAAAATTAAAACTTTTTCAGAATTATCTTGCAAAAAATATGACATGGCAAACATTTTGAACTGAAAATTTATTTAGATTTACTTTCGACTTATGTAATGTTTAAGTAAAAAAATGTTAGAAAGTAATTATTTTTATGTTGGAAGTATTATCAGTTTTGTTATATGAATAATAATTCCTATGTCAAGTCAATCTCTCTATTCTATTATAATAAAAAAAAATGCCAATAATACTACAGAATCGATAATTTGTCTTAACGTAAAAAATATCTAACATTTAAATTTTCTCTTAAAAAGATTATAATAAATTAATTAAACAACAGTTCTATACCTCACTAAGGGCATCACAATATGGTTGGTTTATCTCGACTTTTTATGATTTATAATATGTCATTAATTTTAGTATTTGATAAAAAAAATCGCTTCAATACTACTATGATTATGGTCAATGATTAATTTTAATTTGTATAACTTCAAAATGAAAAATAAAATAAAGAATTTCACTTGCATAAACCAATATTATATACGGTTGAGTGAAACATATACCTAATTTATTACACGTAATTAGTAAGTTTCATCAAAGTCTCGATCTTTTTCTTTTTTTTGTAACATCATGTTTCACTTAAAAAGAAAACACTTATTAGATAAGACTAAGGTAGTGGATAATATTATATTAAATGTTTGTGTGGTAAAAATATATATATTTATATGATTTGTTGTGTATAATTATAGCAAAGATAATTGTGATGATTTGTTTAATTTGGTGTGTTTGTTTGAAATTTGTACATGGTGTGTTCAAATCTAAACCATTCCATATATATATATAGGGCGGGTTTGCTAACGCGCGTACGCCTGTTTTTCAGTTGGTACATTTTAGCAATGTGTACCGGGTTTTAGTAGACAAAAATACCCTTATATACCATGGATTATAAGTTTTAAGGTTAAGGGTATTTTAATAATTTTCATTCTAAACCCTTACTCACCTCTCTCATTCCTCTCAACCCTTTCTCTTTCATCTTTCTCACTTCAATCTTTTCTCTGTCATTCCTACTTTACACATTGCTAAAATGTACCAACTGAAAAACAGGCGTACGCGCATTAGCAAACCCATATATATATATATATATAGGTTTTGTTTTGGTGATATAAATTTAGGTGGTGCTTAATGATTGGTGATTGATTTTGTTTCGGTAACAAGCATTATAAACATGCTTCTTAACTTACTTTGTGAGAGTTTAATCTTTTTGCAATTACCTCGAATTTTGGGATGAAGGTATCCAAAGTGTGATTTTAGTATCATCACTATAGTTGATTTATCTTTGAATTATTAAATAATTGAAAATTAAAAGATAGAAATATTATATAAAAGGTTAAATTTAATTATTGAAGAAGTGATTGTCGTATGGTATATGTATTATATTAAAACCAAGTACAAGAAAATACCAGATAGCGTTATTAGAATTTAATTTCATTCAAAATATTATATATTTATGAGTTGTAGTGATGATAATAAATTTGAATGTGAGATGAAAAAAAATTAAATAATCAAGAGAAATATATAAATGTATTTAAGTATTTTAATTAAAAGATAAAATGGTTTGTTATTTATATTTAAAGGATTTATTTTATATTAAAAGATATTTTGATATATTATTAAATATAATTGGATATTATGGTTAGATAATAATAATAATAATAAAATATATTATTTAGGGACTTATCAAAATTAATTAGAATAAAGATAATTTTTGTTTTTTTATTCGGAAAATATTGAACTTTTATAAAGGTTCAGAAAAATAAATTTAATATAGTTTGGTATGTCTCTTATTTATATTATATTAAAATAAAAACTCTAAACGTCAAGAAAAAGAGATAGAAATCCTACAATAGTCGTGAGAGTTGTTTCAAAGGAAAACATTATTTTCTATTAAGGGAGAAATAGGATTAAACTGTTAGGAGAACTTAGATGATTTAGAACTCTTTGTTGGAATAGAAGAAAGAGAAGCTAATCTTTATTTTTGTGGAGTGTCTTATGTTACATGTATAAATTGGTGACATGATTACATGTCGTTCTTGGCATTTATGAACTATATGGTTTGATGTATGTCCATTACATTATTTAATATTTGTTGGTGCATTTATTATGGTCGGCGTTGTNTGTGAAATACACAAGATTAAAATCAAATGACAGGGGAAAATATTTCTATCAAGATACAAGCCTAAGATTAAGACAACATGAATTTGAAATAGAATAGCTTCATTATTTAAATTATATATCGGAAAAAAGATAGATTCATCACAAAATTAGACAGACCCACTTAAAAGAGTACTATCACGGGCACAAAATTCGGACTTAGGTAAGCATATTGTGTCAAGTCTAGTAAATAAAATGAAAACTTCTTTCCAAAAGCTCTGGAAAAATTAGCAGGGGAGGATAATCACTTTTCTTGTCCTGAATCTATATCTAGTTTGAAACCCACAGTGAAAAATAGTTAGGCACTTGGACAAAACAGGAACAGAGAATTCTTCATCATTATTCAAGGAGATGTATCTAAAAAATTTAAGACCAAATTCGGTTCAGCATAAACACCCGCCAACAAGATGACGATGCTGCATATAATCATGAAAGGTGACCTAATACAGAGTATCCAAACTAAAAGGAACAAACATAAACCCTCTCTATTTGGAACGAGGGAAAGAGTTCAACGGTAAAAAGAAAAGGAAATTGAACAAACCAAATCAAACCAAGAAAAATAAAAGCTATGTAACAGGAAAGGACAGAAAATGGAAGGGGGAAAGATCAATAAAAGGGAAAATTCAAAATTTTGACTTTAGATTTGGCGAAATACGTAAAGATGGCCTTTTGCGTTGAGATGAAAACCTAGCGAGAGAAAAAGATAAATATGAAAAACCCTGAATTGAAGGCATACCGTAGTCGGAACGAGAGCGCTTGCCGGCGATAGAGGAAGGGGCATGCCGCGATTCGGCGGCGTATCTCCAATATCCGTCGGACATGAGGATGGGAATTGATAGATTGATGAACCAAATTGAAATTAAAACTGAAACAGAAATTGAAATTGAAAAGTGAAAGAGGATGAGAATATGGGTTGAAGCTTCTTTTGATTATATCTCAGAAAAGCCAAACGACGCAGATTCAAAGTTCTGCTCAACCAATAATGAATTTCATTTTTTTTTTCAATCTACATCTTATAAGCAGCTACTTCAATACACTTTTCTTCTTTAGCATATTTTATCAGATCCTATTTATATTTTTCTTTCTAATCACTGTTTTACTATATGTCATATTATTCAATTTTTTATTGGATAAATAAGAAAACTTTGATTTAGTCTTTCAATATATATATATATATATAATTCAATTTAATTTCTATATTTATTATTTATTTTTAAAATTATATTTTTAAATTAATTTTTTAAATGATTTTATGTACAGTGAACTTTATTTCTCAAAGTACTAGGTAATGTTGGGATTTTTTTTATCTGAATAAAAGAGTTTAATCATTTTTTATTTGTAGTTTTTGAGTGAAATATCCATTAAGTAAAGTTTATCTCATTAAGCTTATAAGCTATCCTAAAATTAAAACTTTTTCAGAATTATCTTGCAAAAAATATGACATGGCAAACATTTTGAACTGAAAATTTATTTAGATTTACTTTCGACTTATGTAATGTTTAAGTAAAAAAATGTTAGAAAGTAATTATTTTTATGTTGGAAGTATTATCAGTTTTGTTATATGAATAATAATTCCTATGTCAAGTCAATCTCTCTATTCTATTATAATAAAAAAAAATGCCAATAATACTACAGAATCGATAATTTGTCTTAACGTAAAAAATATCTAACATTTAAATTTTCTCTTAAAAAGATTATAATAAATTAATTAAACAACAGTTCTATACCTCACTAAGGGCATCACAATATGGTTGGTTTATCTCGACTTTTTATGATTTATAATATGTCATTAATTTTAGTATTTGATAAAAAAAATCGCTTCAATACTACTATGATTATGGTCAATGATTAATTTTAATTTGTATAACTTCAAAATGAAAAATAAAATAAAGAATTTCACTTGCATAAACCAATATTATATACGATTGAGTGAAACATATACCTAATTTATTACACGTAATTAGTAAGTTTCATCAAAGTCTCGATCTTTTTCTTTTTTTTGTAACATCATGTTTCACTTAAAAAGAAAACACTTATTAGATAAGACTAAGGTAGTGGATAATATTATATTAAATGTTTGTGTGGTAAAAATATATATATTTATATGATTTGTTGTGTATAATTATAGCAAAGATAATTGTGATGATTTGTTTAATTTGGTGTGTTTGTTTGAAATTTGTACATGGTGTGTTCAAATCTAAACCATTCCATATATATATATAGGGCGGGTTTGCTAACGCGCGTACGCCTGTTTTTCAGTTGGTACATTTTAGCAATGTGTACCGGGTTTTAGTAGACAAAAATACCCTTATATACCATGGATTATAAGTTTTAAGGTTAAGGGTATTTTAATAATTTTCATTCTAAACCCTTACTCACCTCTCTCATTCCTCTCAACCCTTTC